CTCCGGAGCTTCGTGAGATAGTAGCTGTGCTTGCTGACAGCTCAATGTGCGTGAATCTTTACGCGCAGCCTCCATAGCTACGACAGTGTCCTTTGCAGTTTCGAAGGTTAAACACGTCGTTTCCAGCAGCCGTGTTTGCATGGTTACGTCATTGATTCCGCTGACTATCTGCTCGCGCAACATGCGCTCTCGAAATGTTGCGAAATTACAGTCTTCGGCTAATTTCTTCAACGAGGCAATATAGTCACTTACCGTCTCCCCCTCTTTTCCATGACTTGAGAAAAACTTGAAACTTGCCACTACATCTGATATGCAAGGGGCGTAGTGCTTGCCAAGTATGGTAAAAATTTCGGTCAGTCCTGCTTGGGTGGGCCTGCTTGGTGCTAGGAGGCCTCGTAGCAGAGAATAAGTCTCTGGACCGCAGCATGTAAAAAATACGGCTGTCTGCTTGTCGCTCGGGATGTCGTTCGCGATGAAGTACAGCTCGGCCCACTCACAGTATTCCGCCCACTCCGATGTACTCAGGTCGAACGGATCCAGCTTCCCGACGACAGGCATGACGACGTGTGATTGTGCTGTGCCCGTCCGGTTCGTCAGTCGACCTCGTCGCCACTTGTGATAACCGGATAGTCCTGGGCCATGCCGGTCGCTGGACCGAATCACACACACGTACGTTGGCGGGTTCCACACTGACTGGCTGGTCATGTGCGCCGTATTTATTTCCTTGCAACATCGACGCCCCCGGGCGCCGGAACGGCAAACTAATCTTATCACAATTTCCCAGTCCCCTTTGTCTGTTTGCCATCTGGTAACATGTGAAGGACCTTTGTTTAGTGGTGTACTTAGAATGATCAGAAAGCGTTCACTTCCGAAAGGGTTGTTGATCACTTTCCAATGAAGCAGGGGTACAAGCGATGGGGACACAATGCTGAGATCTGTGCATGAGTAGGTTTTGTTGGCGAGGCTAAAGTATGTTGGCTCTTCCCTATTCAAAAAACACACACCCGAAGAAAAGAGGAACTGTTCGATTAGGCGACCTCGTGCATCGCAGCAAGAGTCGCCCCATAGACCATTATGTGCATTCATGTCCCCAAGGACCACATAAGGTTCTCGTACTTCATCTATCAGTGACTGGAATTAGTGTTTTTCGAGAAGGTACTGTGAAGGTATGTAAAGAGAGCAGATGATGACAAGTTTGTTCAAAAGAACTGCTCGAACAACCACTGCCTCAAGGGATGTTTGTAGTGGTAGATGCGTACATGCTACGCCCTGATCAACTATAATGGCCACACCACAAGATGATGCTACAGCATCATTGTGGTCCTTTCTGAATATTACATATTGATGTAGAAAATCGGTGTTTCTGGAATTTAAGTGCCTCTCTTGTACACACAACACTTTTGGAGAATGTTTGTGTAAGTTCCTGGATATCGTCGAGGTTTCTAAGCCGTCCTTTGATGCTCCATTGTATTATTTGTGTATCCATTATGAATGTAAATGAGTGCTGTATGTACTAAATAAGTATTGCATCAAGTTAGGAGCCCTCGTCAGGCCCCGTGATGATGATTTTTTTACTTTTTGCCGCGCTCCAAAGAGCCACGCCTGTCCTGCGGCGCCGAAGATACCGTTGGACTTGCTGTTGTGTCCATCACCTTGGACGAGGTGCCGGATGCCCGCTCGCGGTGGACGTGTGCTGGCATGGAAGTCTCAGGGCTATCTGTCGAGACAGAAGGCCCTAGGGCTTCATGTCCGGAGGCCTGCAAGCCTTTTGGTGGCGAAAGAGCCTATGCTACTTCCGCTGAGGGGGTGAATGGCGCTGCTGTTCGTCCACTTTGTGTGGTACGTGCGGGCGCCGTGGATTTCGGTGGCACTGCCCCTTTTCGTGCCACCTCTGCGAACGAAGGACCCTGCATTAGTACACGCTTGCGCACTTCCCTAAACGAGATGTTTTCATTTACTTTCAGTGTAAGTACTTCTTTTTCATGTTTCCATGTAGGGCATGTGCGAGAGTAAGCGGGGTGTCCACCACCGCAGTTGGCGCAGTGTGTAGCGGCTTCTTCACATTTGTCTGTAACGTGTTTCTGCAAACTACACTTTGCACAGGTTTGACAGCTGCGGCAGCTGTGAGAACTGTGGCCGAATCGCTGGCACCTAAAAGAACGTCGGGGGTTGGGGACGTAAGGTCGGTCCTTTAACTTCAAGTAGCCTGTTTCGGTATATTCTGAAAGTATGCTTGTGCAAAATGTAAGAATGAGGTGCTTTGTCAGGGTTTCTTTGTTGTCACGCATAATCTTAATTCTCTATACATGTGTTACATGCTGTTCGTTCCAGCTCTCAAGGAGCTCACTTTCTGTCAGGTTAATTAGGTGTTGATCAGACACTACGCCTCAGGGAACTGTGCAGGAATGGTGTGATGTGATAGATACAGGTGTGGTTCCGAAAGAGCAAGTTTTGTCAGGTTTTCATACTGGGTCTTGGTTTGGACTTTGAGAAGAAGGTCTTCATTAGCCATACGTGTAGCCTGATACCCTAGACTAAGGGTACTGGTGAGGCATTTGGAAATGACAAATGGAGAGATGGTTCTTGCGTATTTTTTCTTTTGTTTCACAGTGGATCACATGGAAGCGCAGCGAAATTTCTTTTGGCTTTATGAATACATTCAGTGTTGCTTAGGTGCGCCCACTCTTAGGAGGAGGGCGATCAGACAGTTTAGGAAATGAAAAAGAGGCCATAAAGTATATTAAATTCGGGAGCCATGCCAGCCGCCCACCATCGAGCCCAATATGGAAACGTGGCAGCACAATTATAAGGGCATGCCAGCGCCAGCTGTACAAAGCCACTGTAACCCAATAATATGTGACTAAGAGAGGGCACATACACAAGGTTAACCCTTGCCGCCTGGAAGATGGAAGTAAACAGAAGTGAAGAGATGACAGAAAAAATTGGAAGAGAAAAAAGACGAAGATCATAAGGGAGAGAGAAAAAGGAAAAGGCGACTGCCGATTTCTCCTGAGTGGGTCAGCTCAGGGGTGCCGTCTAGGTGAAGCCATGGCCAAAGGGGTGTGTTGCCTCTGCCGGGCGGGCCTTAAAGGTCCAATCACCCGTCGTCGGCTCAACCCCCAGGATCCCCTTTTCTCTGGACAAGGCAAAGCCACGCACGGCTAGGCGTGGAAGGGAGTCAAGCCCCCCCCCCCCCCCCCCGTTAGCTCGAGTCCGTGGTCTTTCTACACACTAAACGCCTACTTACGCAGACGCCACTGCAGGGTACATGAAAGCATTTCTTTTCGCTAGCTTGATGAAGCACTTGTGGGATGGTACTATTTCTTAATCTTATCAAGAATGACTCAATGCAGAGATTGAATTGTATTATTACATGATTTAGTGCAACCAAAGTATTCGTGACAACACCTTACACGGGAAAGGCACAGATGCTATTTCCCCAGCCTCTCCATCTCTTCTGTGAAAGCCCAACTGATGTGGTGGACAAGAGCATGCTTCCTTCAAGTCCAAAGTTCCAAATCTGCCTCATAGATGTTAACAAACAAGAACATTTGAAATTATGGATGCTAGAAATCTTCAGGTCTCCAACTCTTCCGACTTCCTGCCCAAGTTTCAGGCACAAAACGGCATTAATTGAGCCCCACACTCTGCCACATCTATCATCTCCATGTTGGAACCAGCCTTTTCTGGAATCAATACATCGACGACCATAGCGGAGCTTGACAAGAAACTTTGCTGCAACACGGGAGTGTAATGAGGCAGAGCACTTAGCAATCTGAAGGGGTCCATTTTAATTTTACGTTGACTGTGTTTGGCTTTAGGGATTTCCACTGTAGCGGAGCCTGAAAGATAGCTTTGCTGTCAGGGTGTCGAAACGGAAAGTTTTTTTGTTTCGGTTTTAGTCTCATTCCGACCACTAAGTGTTCCGTTCCCATTTTAGCTCGGGAAACGAAACGTTTTTTTGTTTCGGTTTTAGTCTCATTCCAACCACTAAATGTTCCGTTCCATTTTAGCCCGGGAACCAAAAAAAATTTTTCGTAACTGATTCGTAACATTAGTATTTATTTTATGTGAAAACTTAAAGTTCGATTCACAGTAAACATACAGGAGTCGTACAGTTACTTACGCTCCGTCGACAATGTGAGACAAGGAAGAACACAACCTAAGGAGAAACAACACTTACTGGACAGAAATTCTTACAAATCAGCGCCCTATCAAGTTATAGTAGACTCTCAAAAATGAATAACGCATTTTTTCACCAGGCTCAATGTTTTGCGTAAAGGGAGTGAGCATCAACTCAGAAGCAGCCCGTCACCTCTCCTATGCGAGACCGTTGATTATATCCGCACCGAGATCAACGCTGGCAAGTCACAGGCACACGAAAGTCCGCTTGACAAAGATATCTGATTGCAACTAATTTCATTTTTCACACAATTTCAACACATCTTTAAGTAGGAATTCCTGCCTGCAATCACGCTAGTACTGTTCTCTACACTGCATGACCTCATTTTTTCTAGAATGCAGAGTTCCACATGAACTGAAAATCAATTTAAAAAATTTCCATTTCACTCTAGAATGAAATAATAGATAACATTTCGGTTACAATTTCGTACTGGTCAAAAATATTATTTGTTTGTTTTTGTTTTTCATTTTTAATTTCAGCTTTCATTCCATTCCGATACACTGTTTGCCGCAATACACTGATGAGATGAAGCATATTGAAGATCTGAAGGGATCGCGAAACTTTCATTGCAAGTTGATTGCACTTGTCTTTGGGAAGTTCCAATACTTCGAATAGTAAAAATTCTAGTATGTATTGAATCAAAGAGAAAAAATAATGTTCACAACATTGAATATTTGCACATCCCTATGTTTAATGCAACATTTCGTTTTTTGTGACACACAATTATGCGACCAAATACATCACATACCATTCAGGTAGTTTTTTAATGCAAAGTGAGCTTTGATTTACTGCACTTTACCAATACATCATGACTCACTGTGGCTAATTCATGGTGACAGAAGCATGTTGGCACCACAAGGGCACGCCCTCAGGCAAGTCCCATTTTGATGCACCTCCCCTGAAAGACACAAAATAAAATCATCACTTAACATAGATCTCGCAAAGCCAGGAGAGTTGCTTAACTATCTTGTTTACGAAGGGGAAATACACTTTCACAAATAAGCAATAAAAGCAATTATGCAAACAGTCATAAGAATAAAAATATGTAGAAACAGTTTATTTAGATAAATAAAGACTACCTTTTTTTTATGCCTGTACATTTTATTATGGCAGAATAGTGCGAACTGCAGGACAGTAAACACAACACAGCCCCGAATATTTCTATGTCCCGTAGCATGCGCTATCACCCTGAAGAGTTTACGAATCAGTCCACCTCCACATAAAAGCCTTAGCTTGTTTCAGTGACACTAAGTTCTGACTTGGAGCAATTTTCGGAGCAGCAAAATTTTCATTTTAGAGAACTTTGGAGCAGCAACAGTTTCTATTTTAGAGCAATCTGGAGCAGCTAACTTCACATCCTGGAGGAGAAGCAAGTTGTATTTACATTCATAGGCATGAAGAAGTATTTTGGGGCTCTTGTCTTTGGTGAAGAGCTAGAAATATTTCCATTCATTTCAAACCTCATGAAGCCAGTTATCTTAAGAGCGCTCCGTGCAAAATAACAAAAGCGCCGACCAAGGTGAAATACACAAAAGTTAAAAGACGTTCCAGCTTCCCACACGGGAGGCTTGTTCACAGTGATCGCACATGGTGTAGTGCACTTTTCTTACGCACGTTTCATCACGTGTTGCAGACATCACGCGTACACAGGGGGAGTGTCCCAATATTTCTGTTCAACGTATGCGCAGTAGTTTGAATGGCCAGAGAGTCCATGTGCAATCGTGGTAACAACTTTCTTTCCGTGGCAATGTTGCAGGCTTTATCCCAGTCGATAGCATGCTCAGTAGACGCAACATGTTCTGCGAGGGCATTAGAAGCTACTTTCTTGTTCTTGACGTCATGAAAATATTCCCAGACCCTTCTTTTGTAATTGCCCGTTTCACCAATGTATTCGTATTCACAGTCTTTGCAAGAAATTTTATACACCATACCGAGAAAATCATGTCTGTGCATAATTTTCCCGCAACAAACGTGTGCATGCTTGACCTATGCTTATTTTCTATATTAGACAAGCTGGTTGGGCTACTGGTACAACTGTTTTTCATGTTCACAAATTTTTTCAATGAAGCTTACATCAACTCAGACCAAACAGAGGTTTCTCACCTGGGTTTCTAGAAAGTACACCAAAAACCAGTGTTTTCGCATTCCCCTTTAAGCAAGGCGAGGGATCAAACCAGCAATCAAATGCTCAGCAACATGATATAGAGCCCAGACAATGTGCATCGCTGCACACGCTACGAGATGCACAGTGCATGCTGATAGCAGCTGCCTGTCACATTTTCGAAGTGGGAGTGCAATCTGACACTCTGGGACAAGTACGTGCGCACATGTCAGGGGACGTAAAAAAATATCTGTGTTTTTTAACAGCTTTTACGCAGTGTTATTTTGACAAATGAAAGAATTATCCAGTGCTGTAGATTGCAAGCAAGCAAATGGCAATATGAAATCCAGTGTCACCTTTAGAAAAAGCAGTTATCTTGTCAGTTTGACAGAGACAGCTATGTGCATCAGACCTCAGTCTGACTAGCTTACATGCTCTAAATTCCCTTTCCCACCATTCATCTTTTAGCCCCGCTGCATGAGAAGCTGGTGCTTCTCATGCAGCGGGGCTAAAAGTTGTTTCACTTTCACTTCCTTAACAATTCAAGTCACTATGATTGGTACAAATAAATATACAGACGAGGGTGATCAATGACTGGAAACCTTGGATAAAAATAAAAAAACAGGAGTACAGTAAAAAAATTTAAAGCAGAAATAAGAAATAAAACAAATGCATCAAGAACGTCAAGAAGCAACACAAATCATCTATACAATACAAAATAACTTTTTACAAAAAAATGAAGAATTTCATTTCATGCTTAAGTATCAACTTAAGTTCACTATGCTTTCATTATCTCATCAGTGACCACAAAGGTTTTCATGCCACATTTTTATATTCAACACCGCCATGTGCAACATGTAGCAAAACAATCAGCCTATACAATCGATGACAAAACTTCCACACCATTAACTATGAATTAGCTCCTTTTCTACCTAACTTTCAGTCTCGTTTTCAAAAACAATTTATGGATGACAATTCAGTGCTCTTTAAAAGCAAAATGATTCAATGACAATTTGATGCTTTTTAAAAGCAAAATGACTGAATTGGCAAACAAACGCATATCGAAAATTACCTTCCGTGAGAACTGTCGCAATCTGTGATTCACCAATCACTTAAAGCGATTAAGTAATAACAAGAAAACACTTTTCTGAGCTGCTTAACTGAGTGCGAATGCTAATGCTTCAGAAAAGTGTCACTCTGCTGAAAAAAATGCACTTATCTGCTGTTCACGGGGCCAAGCATGCTTTTTTTAACAATAACTTACCCAAGAAATAAGACGAAGAAATTTTGACAAGTAATAAACCCAAATCAAGCTCGCACCATGACTCTTGATGATAATTCGGAGAACATTACGTCTGATGCTGCCTGTGCCAAAGCTTTCAACATTGCCATTGCTTCAGGTTTTACTAACGACACCAGTGCTTCTCTGCCACTACTGTGTAGAAACATAGTCTCGAGAATGCTGGCGTTTACGTTCAGTGTAGATGCTATTTCAAATTTTAAAAATAACGTAAAACTTTCATCCAATGCCGGTCCCTCGTGACTGGAAAGTAGGGAAAGTTATTCCCATTTAGATAACTGCTAACAAGCTTTGCCCGCTAAATTACCACCTCCTCACCCTCCTGAGTCTGCCACGAAAAGTCAAGGAACACATCATTTGCTCACTCATTATGGACCATTTAGGTGCCAATCATTTTTATTGCGATAGCAATCACATGGACACTCGGCTTGATTTTGCCGCAAGCATCACTGTCACTAACAGTATATTTCATGATTGTGATGGGGTCGTGACAACGACGAAGGGAGCAGACAGTAGGTCGAAGATTAAACTGTTTATTCAGCCAAACTTGTGGTCACATAAAAGTAAATCAAGATTTCAGCGAGACACTGGCACTGATATCAGCGCTCTGAGTGTCGGCCATCGATCAACTGACAAGTGGCAAAGCATGTCGGCATTTATACACTTGCCATTGAACATTCTAGCGTTATCCCTAGCGGTGACGTAGGTTTAAAAATAGTCTGAAATGCTCATGAAGAAGGCGCATCCTCAACAAACAGATGTACTACAGTCCAGAGGCTTCTTGAATACTGTAGGCGTAGTTTGCGCTGAGAATTGCGTACAGCGTAACGGGGTGATAAGAAAACTTGAGGAGGAAATGTGGCAATACGTATATACATATTATATATATATATATATATATATATATATATATATATATATATATATCATCGCATCGCATATAAGCATCGAACGCGTTATTCGAAGGTCATAGCTTCGATTCCTGCTCACGGCTGGTTATTTTTTCATCCACTTTTCTTTCTTCTTATTTACATTCCATTGGTTCTGATAACTTCCCCTGTACATTCCTTGGCATTACTGTCTGTTAGATCATTAATATTGTGTTAAAACACGGAAAAACAAGCCTTTAGGTATACACTTCTTTCCCTTATTTTTATTTATTTATTTTATATATATATATTATTAGCCGGCACACAGCGAGCATGCACAATGGCGACAGTAACGGCCAAGCACGGGGTCTCAGCGCGAGCAGCATCCTTTTTGGGTAGACCCACTAGAAGGCACCTGAGAGTTCGGCCAATTTCAGTGTTCGGAAGCTTCTCTACAATTACCCCGGAGTCGAAGAGGGAGCCGCCTGGCGACCTAACAGCTTGTCACTATGAGCAGGTCATAGTAAGCCTTCAGGCGCTCCACGTTGACTATGTCGCGCCCGCGACGGCGCATGTCCGAAGTTTGTTCAATTGGTTCGATCAGATAGTTGACCGGAGATGTGCGCTCGATGACACGGTAGGGGCCTTCGTATTAGGGAAGTAGTTTGGAAGAAAGGCCAGCGACAGAGGTCGAGATTGAGAGCCATACAAGAGAACCAGGAAGGAACGTGGGCTCAGAAGTGGCGAAGCCATCACGAATACTCTTCTGCCGCTCTTGCTCATGCGTCGTAAAAGTATTGGAAAGCTCTCGACACTCTTCAGCAAGCCTGGCTGTCTCAGAAATAGGTGCACACTCAGATGGATCCGGCGTGCACGGGAGTATCATGCCAATAGTGTGTGACAGGTGCCTTCTGTACAGCAAGAAGCTGAAAACCCGGTTGTGCTCTGAGTGGCGGTGTTGTAGGCGTAGGTGACGAAGGGCAGTATAGTATCCCAATTCGTGTGGTTGGCGGCGACGTACATCGAAAGCAAGTCGCCGAGGGTGCAGTTAAAGCGTTCGGTGAGACCATTCGTCTGCGGGTGCTAAGCAGTAGTTTTGCGGTGGACAGAATGGCACTCCGTGAGAATGGCTTCGACGACTTCTGACAAGAGAACACGGCCTTGATCGCTGAGAAGCTCCTGAGGTGGACCGTGGCGCAGTATGAATCGATGCAGTAGGAAGTAGGACGCAACATCATGCGCAGTAGCCGCAGGGATAGCGGCGGTTTCGGCGTATCGCGTTAAATGATCTACGGCGACGATGGCCCAGCAGTTACCAGCCGACGTCAGAGGAAGTGGTCCATACAAATCGATACCTATGCGCCCAAACGGACGCTCAGGGCAAGGTAACGGTTGCAGACTGGCTGACGACATGTGTGCTGACGGTTTGCGGCGTTGGCAAGCGAGGCAGGAGCGAACGAACTGCTGCACGTAGCGGTACATCCCGCGCCAGAAGTAGCATTGTCGAATGCGATGGTAGGTTTTGAATACCCCAGAGTGCGGGCATTGCGGATCAGAATGGAAGGATTCACATATCTCTGACCGCAGACTGCGGGGTATCACGAGTAACCACTGCCGGCCATCGGCGT